CTCTCTCTCTCTTTGTTGTCATTAATGTTCTGATAATCAAAAACAAAATTAATTATCCGCTAAACAAGAAAGTGATGAATCGATTGCATTAAATGTATGTATAGATGGACTGACCGTTTGGCAAAATCCATATGATTTTGGGCACCGGGAGTCCCAACGCCTTGCACTGGAAGACATGTCTGTCGCCGATCTTCTTATGTATTGTGACATTTTGTTTGCCAATCGTCACGATCTTTGGCGCGCATTCCTCTGGTATCAAATTGTCTGTCAATTCAATTAATTTAATTTTCGACAAACTTTTTGGTTGAAAACACTGCAAGTTTTTGCCGTCAATTAATTCAATTTTACTATTGTTTGGATGTTTGAGGCACTGGTAGGAGAAGGGGTTGGGAGGAGAGAGAAAAAGAGAAAAAACAAATGAATACCACAACTAAATGAATGGTTATATCCTATAACTGTCTCTCATTACTGGCTTTAATTAATTATCTAAACGTTTATATAAGGAATTACCCCTTAATTAATATAAGGATTGTTTGGCTATTTATCTCAATGTTTAACTAAAAATATATGCAATTCTTGCAAAATAATACATTTATTATCACTAACTTTATAACCAAATATAACTTTAAACTAATTTTAATCAAAATTAAGCTACAATTGAAAACCACTGGACATTAAAACACTATAACAAACCTGATATAAGTATTGAATATTACAGTCACAGAGTATGGGATTTGATTGGAAAGTGATTTTAAGCTTATGTTTGCTGTGAATGTGTTGATCGTTGAGGACGTAGTCAATGATGTCGTGTTGAAATGTATTGAGAGCGCAGTCATGCAACTGAAGGCTGTGCAGCAGCGGTACCCCCAGGAAGGCCTGGCTATCGATATACTGGAGGCTGGGATTTGAGTGCAATAATATGGTGTTCACGTTTGGCAGATCCCAGAAGGCGCCCTTGTCCACCAGGGTCAATTGTTTGCAGTTGGCCATGCTGATCCGATTGACCGGTATGTGCACAAAGTCGCCGGTCAACAGCTGTTCCAGCGGATTGGCGTCCATATCGATGGTGATGATCCTCTTCAGCGACTGCAGCGCTATCGATGGCACTCGTGTCAAGTGATTGTCGTTGAGGTACAGCTCCTCCAACAGCTCCAGACCGACGAACGCGTTGTCATTGATGCTAATCAAGCGATTCCGCGACAGCACTAGTTTCCTAAGGCCTGTCATCGACGCGAATATACCGCCCGTCAGGTGACTGATACTATTGCCGCCGACGTTCAGCACCTGTAGTGGGTTGTGGGGGGCCGGGGGTTAGACACAGATGTGCGTTAATAGGGCTATGCACTTATCATAGGTATATGCTATGCAAATGTCTATCCATTTGTTTCCTAAAGGTATCAGTTATGTGAGTCTCTCAATACCTACGGGTATTACATAACATATTATATCAATTTATATATAACTGTCTGTCTCTATATATTTCTCTATCGTTTAATGGTTTTAATGGCATTTGAATGTGATTTATGAAACGTCTGTTAGCTTTACGTCTATAATAAACATAAATATTGATGATATGATATGGGGTTTGAGTATTATTTGAGAGAAAAAGTTAAATTTCATAAATTTTTATTTATCACTCTTTAATGTATTGTTTTTACTGTATTTTGTTGTTTGTGTTCAAGAATTTATGGCTTTATTTACTACTGAATACTTCAAAAAAGTGTGCATAAATTTATCAAATTGTTTTTTCTTTATCAAAACCTATACTATATTTCCAAATATAGATTAATGACTGAATATACATATACTGTAAGTACCGTGTATTTAAGGGACAGTTAGCTTTTTGAAGGTATATAACCAATCATTTGGGAATAATATCATCGCAAATGACAACTACTACTTTTTGAGAGTAAATGGAAAAGGCTAGATTATATTTCCCGCTAACCATTCACTCACTAAAAGTATTGAATATATTTATCAACAAAAAACAAACATAAAATGCACACACAAAATAAAATAAAAAACTTTTAAGACATTAAATAAAATAACGTCAAAACAAACTTACGCTAAGATTGAGTATACTTTGAAACAACTCTAAATATATGGACGAGAGTTGATTGTTCTCGATGTTCAGCTCCTTAAGCATCTCCAGGCCGTCGAAGGCGTGTTCGTCGATATACTTGATGTGACCGTTGCTCAGGTCCAGCACTTCCAGCCGCTTAAGACCGCGAAACACGTCCGCAAATAGGGTACGAAATTTATTATGCGAAATGTCCAGCAATTTGAGATGGGTCAAGTTGGAGCTGAACATCGAGAACAATCAACTCTCGTCCATATATTGAGAGTTGTTAGTGATATAATACCAGAATTAAGTCCAAGAATAGTGTTATTAAGTAAATTAAACGCTAAATGACTGCTAAATATGCAAACATTTAATTTAGTTAATGAGAATTTACATACATAAATAGATAGCTGCAGTGAACAGACACACTGTTTGGGACAGGCGATGGTGTTGGTCCAGTTGGTCTGCCTGTGGCCGTGGCTGTCGTTAATGAGCTCCGGTATGAGCGACGGCGTGACACATGAGCCCAAATGGATGAATATGATGGCCGATACGGTATGAAACCAATGCACCACTAAATGCTTGATCGTTGACATCATTTATTATATTATATATATGTCTCGACCGGCGGAGCACTGGTTAGTAATAATGGTGTTGTTGTCGTCGTCGGAGTGGGAATATTAATGAATGACAAGCAATAACAATAACGACAGTTATTGTTATGTAATAGTAATCATAAGGAATCAACTTTTGGGTCAAATACGGTGTCGGCGCTCATTGAATATCAACAGTCAGTCCATTGCCTTCTCTTATATAATATATTAATGATTGATGTGATGCTAATTCCGTGCCATTCGTCCAGACGTATACGTGTGTGAGTCCTAAACATTAGGGTTGAAAAAACAATTCATTTATAGCTAGCATTTTTTGATTGTTATTTTGCTGATGTATTGATTTTTATCGCTAGTTGTATATTAGTATACAATATTAATGGTCAATGGATTTTAGTCCGAGTTCTATATGTTTTTATGAAGTTATGTTAGGCTTAATGTGTTTGCATTAAAGAATATTCTGTGTGTTTATACACAGATATGAACCGAGAAATAAGAAATTCTGTGTTTTTCGCTATATTTTCACATATTTTAATCTATAATTTTTCATTTTATACTATTATTACATTTATAATAGTATTTCTCTATTATTTTAAACGATATTTTTAGCAATCATTTTGTGTTTTTCTCTTCAATTCTCTACTGAAATATAATTTCTTAAATGATGTGAAATACAAAATATAACTAAAGGTTTAGTTATTAAAAAATCCCATTTCTTAAACACAACTTTATTTAAAGGGCAAAAATAGTGGAAAAAATAATACATTTTTTGTTTTTATTTCACGGGAAACTTAAAACGCAAATCTTTATTAATTCATAACTTTGCAAACAATTTTCATATATATTTTTTATGTTGTTTTTCCTTGGGCAAAAATAGTGGAAAAAATAATACATTTTTTGTTTTTATTTCACGGGAAACTTAAAACGCAAATCTTTATTAATTCATAACTTTGCAAACAATTTTCATATATATTTTTTATGTTGTTTTTCCTTCCCTTTAATATAAATAAAACACATTTATATAAAAATTGTTTCCCATTTCTGACAGACATTAAACAACAAATAGCTTAATTAAAATTCACATAAGAATTGCATACATTATTGTTGAATATAATTATATACAACACGTTATGTAATAAATAATTTGTATAATATTCTTATGGGAAATAAATATGATATAAATTCTTGAATTATGTTTTGCTCTTATGTTTTTTGTTAACACTTGAAAGGCAGCGATAGGATCAATATATAGTTATATTATTAGTTTTTTTGTTTTTATATTTTACTCTTATTTCTGACAGTATTCACAATGATATGTGTCGTGAAGAAAGACATCTATACTGTAATTACTAATACAGTTGTGCACAGAATCTGCTATTCATGGATACCTGTAAACCAATTCATCTCTCTCTCTCTCTCTCTCTCTCTCTCTCTCTCTCATTGACAGAATTTTTACCCGGATGTGAGTGGGAAAATGAAATAAAGTTATATTTTTAGGCTAGATTTTATGTGCATCCGAGCGCTCATATAATAATAAGTGAGATGTCATTCACTGTATTTTGTTCACTGTTTCAGCAAAGATATCTCTCTATCCAATATATAGTTTTTATGTATACAATGCTGTATAAGCAATATCCAATATTCACTGTCCAGTTATATACCCTTTACTGTATATATCAAGCGCTTAAGACATGTATTTTTGTGTGCAATTGAATGGCAGCGAGATTTTAATAGAGAGAAAAGCCATCGAAAAGATTATTGAACACAATCTGAAATCCGGACCTAAAATTGACACAAAAATAAAAGACTGGATTATATTCATAGAGCCGTATGAATGGCAGCCAATTCTCTCTCTAATAACATAATTTCACATTACATGCAATAAATCAAATAAATTTGCTTTTATTGTTGAACAATATTATGNACAGCAAACGAAAAATTCATTTATTTTAAGATCCATTTGCTATCAATTAGTTGTTTGTGTTTTTAGGGCACTCTCTCTCTCTGCTCTTTTGTATCCGACATCACAATAAAAGAAACGTTGAGTTTTGTTTGTGATATTTGTCTGATGTCTTATGTCTAGTTTGTTGTCATATTTTATGGATATAATTATTATTTATATACATTTTTATGTGCAAAATGTGCGCCCATTTCACTGTCGCGAATGTGATGTGAATATTACTGAACTTAACGGCAAAGTGTATGAGAATAATATGTATGTGTTTAGTGTTGTATAGTCTATGACTACAAGCGATATCTCATTTCATTTGTCTCGCAATCTCTTTGTGTCCAAAGAGTCGTCAAGAATTCAATTATCTAATAATGAGTGAGACGTCGAGAATCTATACACAGAATATACGGTATTATATGTATGTTATTCTCGTTGCGCTAATTAATGGAGAGTTAGAAACAGAATAAATAAGTCATAAATGAATGACTGAATGAGATGTGGAAGAAGTCGGGGAAGAAGTCGGGGAAGAAGTCGGGGAAGAAGTCGGGGAAGAAGTAGTGGTTATATCCATGACATCAGAGAGAGAGAGAGAGAGAGAGAGAGAGAGAGAGAGATAGTTAACCTAACTTTTGTGTAGTGTAGAGAGAGAGAGAGAGAGAGAGAGAGAGTCAGATAGAAACCGAATAAATGTTTGCAATAAATGTTTAATTAAGTCTAACATCAATTCGCATGCAATAGGGTTTCGGGGTTTTGTTTCCCAAAACACATCTGTTATGAAATTATTATCCGTAAGAGAAAAGTCATATCAATATATAATATTGCAGTTGTTTTTTGTATGTCTTCTCTGTGCAAATGTAATGAAATTAATATTTATATTCAACGCAATGGAGGGCTGATGGTAATAATTGCCACCAAAATGTATATCATTAATAACTCACGTTTTAAAATATTTGAGTTTTTTCAGTGTAAATAGTGCTTGAATTTAATAATAATAAATTATGTACAAAATGTAAGCATAGTTTGCAGCCTTAACACAGCCGGTGCTGTAATATGTATGCAAAATATTCTGTATATATCGCTATGAATATCATATAATATTCTTATAAATATTGAGATAAATGTAATTAATAACCAAAAGTTATGCACTAAAAAAGGCTGAATATATTTTCAGTACAACTTTTGTTGGCGTAAAATATTTTTATTTGAAAATATTTTTCTCTCGCATAATATTGTTCAACAATAAAAGTAAATTTATTTGATTTATTGCATGTAATGTGAAATTATGTTATTAGAGAGTGAATGTGTGTGTCTATGAAAACTTACAAGTATTTCATATTTTGTGCAAACATTTACTTTAAGAAAACTCTTTAAACTCTTAGAGAGAGAGAGAGAGAGAGAGAGAGTTATATAAAATAAAATAAGAGCCGACACCACGAATGCCGAGTGTGTATTGAAATAATATTGTGTGCATAAAAATAAATGATAATAACATTACATTCAGTTTATAGTTTGGTATCATATTCTGGATATACAATAATATTTTACCCCAAAAATCCATATATTCTTTTGAATTTGAATATAAAGTTTTTCTTTATTACGAGTTTTATATGTTATATAAGTTATAATGGATTCACTTTTGCTTCGCAAACACAATACTAAACCATTGATTATATGTCTCGTACAACACAATGGCTTAAATGATATTTTCATTTATTTTGGCGACCAATCGATAGCCTTATAAGTAAATGATAGCAAATACAAAGTGAACAGTGTTTTAACGTTTGCATTTTATTTTACCATTTAAAACAAATGTATATATATTTATATATAACTAATATCAAGTCATTTGAATTTAATTAAATGATTTATTTGAATATAATTTTTTACCATTTATTTGCGAAACTCTTGAATCGTTTTTCTATTTCGCTATATATTGTATATTATGTTTATTTCTGGCTCTCATTTGATTGATTTCTATGTTGAACGGAGTGTAAAGCAAATTTCAATTGAATTTCCTCCTTCTCTCTCTCTCTCTCTCTCTCTCTCCTATCGTTTTTCTCTCTCATTTATAGACATTTTTGTTTCCAATGACTTTTATTTGATTTATAGTCAAAATTGTCTGTCGTTTTACGTTTGAAAAGTTTGCGATTTTCTGTGAACTACTATTTTAAAAACACGAATTTCACAGAATTTGTATTTGAAATGAGTTTACGAGAGAAAGAAAGAACGAGAGAAAGAAAGAGAGAGAGAGAGAGAGAGAGAGAGAGAGAGAGATTTGAATTCATGTATACTGTAATAAAAATCGGAAAACAAAATGTATCGATTGGTAAGAGATTCACACGAAGAACACAGTGTAAAATATAGTATAGAAATTACATGAAAAGTCAATAAGAAAAATAATGTCACACAATATAATAGCGTTTTGTAAATCAAATGACAAAATGTTAATAATATTTCTGCAAAAGAAACGCAAAGAGCGAGAAATAGGGGATTATATACAGTATATCTTTATATATAGATAGAAATAAGAGTATATTTTTGGTTATAATTGAGAAAATTTCATTCATTTGGTTTCTCAAAACACGAGTCGACGACAAGTTGTCATCAAATAGTCTTAAGGAGACGTCAAATGCTTTAACGAAAGAGCAGTGAAGGGAAGGGATGTGTAAGAAAGAAGAGTCCAATCAATTTGGATGGCAATTGCAAAAGGCATACAAGCGATCGGAGATTACATATAATATAATGATTTTTTGGGTCTTAT